CTCCTCCTCCTCCTCCTCCTCCTCTTCTTCTTCTTCTTCTTCTTCTCGTTGGCAGAAATACTAACTCTGAGTGCAGGGAATGACTAAGTAGTTCTTCTTAAATCCCGACAATCAATCACTGAGGGAGAATCAGAGATCTTGCGGGCTATACCCCCAGCAGCCGGCCTGGTGTGTGACGATACTAGCTATTAGCAGCCATGACCGAAGTGATAGAGCGTACAGCCACCCAAGGCCTTGAGGCCCTTTTTTTTCAAACCTAGGTCTGGTACCCCTCATCTTGTCTTTTCGTGCAGATGTCGCCGATCAGGCGAAAGTGTTCAAGCTTCTACAGACGACCGTAGATGTCGTAGTCAAGAGCGTAGGAGAGACGTGTCTATCTCACCAAGAGCAAGGGTATATATCCCAGCAGAGAAAACAGAGCCGAAGGCCGAAGACTGCATGGAAGTCCGTCAGCCACTCGCCTTCCGCACAAACCGTGCCCTAAATGGCAGCGCTTGCATCGCCAACCCATACGTCACGCCACAGGCTCGTCCGTCTCTAGGATATCTAGCATGGATGTCGATGACTGGGCGGCATGTCCCCTTCTACATGTCCCTGCACGCACAGGAGTATTTATAGACATAACATTGCTCGAGATGATATCCAATCCCAGGGTGTCCGCCTGACAGTTAGACTTAGGCTGGGATAGCCTCGAAGACGATGAATCCGTAGCATTTACGACCCGACCCGTCAGGGGTCAGAACTAAGCGTATCAGCGGACGTGTGCACATCCTCGAACACCATTATCCACAACCATATCCATCACCAGAACCAACCCCCTACAAACTTAATAATGCCCAGCAACCGTCAACGTCCCCGTCTTGGTAACCAAATACTCATTAACAGCAACCTCCTTGCCACTCTCCTTCCCATACCCGGACTCCTTGACCCCGCCGAACGGCGCCTCCGCCGCCGACGACGACCCGGTATTCAGCCCAATCATGCCGGCCTCGAGGTTCTCGAACAAGCGCCACAGGCGATCGGCATCCTTGGTGAAGGCGTAGCTGGCCAGCCCCATGGCGGTATCATTAGCCAGGCGGACGGCCTCGTCCTCGGACTCGAAGCGATACAGCGCGGCGATGGGGGCGAAGGACTCCTCGCTGGACACGCGCATGTCGGCCGTCATATCCCTGAGGATGGTGGGCTGGAAGAAATACCCCTTGCCCTGGACTCTGTCGCCGCCGAGCACGACCGTCGCCCCCTTGGCCGTGGCATCCTGCACCTGCAGCAGCGCCTTCTCGACCCCCTGCGGCGTGGTCAGCGGGCCCATCGTGACCCCCTCCTCCCACCCGTTCCCGACCCGAATCTGCCTCTCGGTGCGCTCCTTCAACATCCCCACGAACCTCTCATACACCCCCGCCTGCACGTACACGCGGTTGGCGGTGATGCACGCCTGGCCGGCATGCCGCCACTTGAGTGCCATCAGCATCTCCAGCGCCTGGTTCAGGTCTGCATCATCAAAGACCAAGAACGGACAATTCCCGCCCAGCTCAAGCGTCATCTTCTTGAGCCCGTCGGCACAGTACCCGGCCACCAGCTTCCCGACGCGCGTCGAGCCGGTGAACGTGACCTTGCGCACGGCCGGGTCGCGACACAGCGCCTCGCTGACGGCGGGCGTATTCGCCAGATCGGTGGTGACGACGCCCAGCACGCCGGGCGCGAACCCCGCCCGCCGGGCCAGCTCCGCGAGCACGAGCGCGCTGACCGGCGTCTCCGGCGACGGCTTGACGATCATCGTGCACCCGGCCGCGATTGCCGCCGCCGCTTTGCGCACCACCATCGCCACCGGGAAGTTCCACGGCACCAGCGCCGCGACCACCCCGATCGGCTGCTTGAGCGTCAGGATGCGGCGGCCCGGGAGCGCGGCGGGTGTGATGGTCCCGGTGATGCGCTCCGGCTCGCCCACGAACCACCACGTGAAGGTCAGCGCGTAGTCGATCTCGCCCAGCGCTTCGGCCAGCGGCTTGCCGGTTTCGTGGACAAGGATCCGCGCCAGGTCCGTGCGGTGGGTGCGGAGCTGCGTGTCCCAGTTTTGGAGGAGTTGGGCCCGGTGGCGCGCGGTGGTCGTGCGGAAGGTGTGGAAGGCTGTGGAGGCGGAGTTCGTGTATTTGGGGATGTCGGACGCCGTGTTGGTGGGGATGCTGGTCCAGGGGGTTGTGGTTGCGGGATCTTTGGGATGTGTTAGTAGGGAAGAAGGGGGGTACGGGGGGTCTCCCCCGGTGATTATTAAATGTTTTCTGTGTAGATTGAACAGGCTGGATAGCAGAATAGGAGACGGGGGGCACGGGGGTTTCCCCCCGTGAGTATCAAGGGTATATCTGTGTGAGTTTGATATATGGATTGAAAGGTGATACACTGCGAATAAGAAGGGGGGGTACGGGGGGTCCCCCCCCCGTAGATCTTCAATATAACAACATTATGATGCAGGAATGGTTCATCTAAAAAAGGGAAGTGTGCATTAACAAGGACAAACAAAGAAGAGAGACACACCTATAACCTCGAACCTCTCCCCACTGCTTGCAGGCGTCCACTCATTGTTGACAAAGGAGTCAAAGTGGAGGATGGACGGGTCATCGAGCTGCCCATCTTAGTCTTGGTAGATACTAGTGAGATGCTTGGGCAGTACGAACCTTGAAGGGGAGTTCATATTTCTGAGCCATGGTGATTTTGTATGGACAGGGGACAGTCCTGCGGAAGGTGAGTATACAGTATACTGAACCAGAGGTGGTTGAAATCAAGAGTAGGCAGTAGTAATGAGATGAGGGGTATCGGGGCATCCCATATTTAACTGTAAACTCAGCTCAGCTCAGCTCACCCCGCACTCCACCCTAAATAAGATCGGCAGGGTTGATCATTCCGTCAGCTGTGGCTGATCTCCGCTGAGTGTAACCACATCACTACGCCTTCGAGTGCCCTACTTCTGCAGCCATTATGTGCCTTCCAGATATTCACAGCTGCATCCACTCAGCCGGAAAATGCGCCGGTGTGACGTGTGGCATTCCTGCTCGGCGTGATAGCCAAGCTTTCTGTCGTACACTGCAATGTACTCGTCACGGCGGCAACCCCCTCGTCATGACGGGTTTGTGTTTTGCTGGGAAGTTGAAAGTAAGGGGTCAGGGGGTTCTTCCCCGGCAAGGCCTCTTTATACTATGTATAGGGTTGAGGTTACTGGGAAGCTGAAAAAAAGGGGGGTCCGGGGGTTCTCCCCCGGAAAGCCTTGGTGGTGTACATGTATCAAATCACTACAGTAGGATCATCAGTCCAGATTACAGCAATGTCACATCGTGCTTGGGTAAACAACTCAGTTCAGTACGGTCTTCTGATCTACAAGGTATATCTCCAGATCCCATCCCACTCTATCTATGGTATACTACAACTTCGCCTTCTCGCTCTGAGCAGCCAGGTCAGGCATCAACACGTCCCGCAAGTCGGAAGCCGCCTCATTCAGATAGTAGCTCATGCGCTCCGCCCCCAGGCGCTTGCACACGATGTTGAAGTTCAGACTACACACGTTAGTAATGTCCTGGCCATGCACAGTGACAGAAGCAACTCACCTGTTCTCGTTGATCATGTAGGCAATGCCAAACCCATCGTCAATCACCTGACTCCATCCGTAGCCGTTGAAGAACTCCGAGCTCAGCTGGCTGGTGGACAAGTACCACGAGCCGCTGTATGCATAGGCTGGGTCCTCGTACAGGGCAGGCAGCTTCTCCCCCTCCTTCACCAGCTTCTTCAGTCCAAACAGATGACGGTCTACGCCCCGGCCGTCGCTGGCCTCAGCCGTGTACTTGGAGTGAGCGGCCAGCGCCGCGCGGAACAACCGCACCACCTCCTCTCGGGCAACGGCCGGGTCGCTGATAGCCTTGCAGAAGGCCACGCTCTCGTCCGAGACCGTGCGGATCGTCTCCGTGCGGCCCTCCTGGAACTTGCGGGTCGACGCCGACTCGTACGTCGGGCGGTTCTTGCCGTACATCTTGTAGTAGGCCAGCTGGATGATCATCTGCACGTACGCATCCGGGCTGCACTTGAACTTCTTGATCAGGCCCTTACCGTAGCCCTGGTACGCTTGCACCTTCAGCTCGTGGTTCGAGATCTGCTGCCGGTGCTCTTTGGTGGCCGCCTCGATCGCCTCCTCCACCTCGCCGTTGAGGTGGAAGTTGATCGGCCGCGGGTCGGGCAGGTCCGACCGCACCGCCTGCTCCGAGAGGTCGATCTTGTTGCCGAAGATCAGGCCGTTGAGGTGGTCGTTGAGACGGTGGGTGGGACTGCCGTCCATCATGCTGTGCTCACCCATGAACCCGGCCGTGCCGTTGTCGTTGACGATGAATTGCAGCGGCTTGTCAAACCAGCGGTTGGCGCCATCGCCGTGCCAGTATTGGTGAGCGCGCTCCTCCAGGGTCACGGGCGACGCATCGTCCAAGCACACCACGAACCCGGCCGACTCGATGTCCCGCAGTGCCTGCTCGTTCGCCGGGTGCGCTGCCAGCAGCTTCTTCCGGGCGTCGGCCCACGAGTCTCGGTTGGCGACCGTCAGCACGCCAACCGGGGGCGACCGCTGGGCGATCTGGTAGATCCGCTCGAACTGGCGCTGGAACTCGGTGTTGTTCAGCGGCCGGCCGTTGACGGCCAAGGGGACCTTGAAGAACTGGTTCTTGCGCACCACCACGATGTGCTCGTGGTCCTGGGCGGGGAACTTCTGGGGGTAGTCCACCCCATCGCCCGGAATCCGGCAGCAGTTGAACATGTACTCGTACGAGCTCATCGCCATGGGCTGGCCGCGCATGTACTCCGGCTCCAGCTCGCCCGAGTCCACCTGGCGCTTGAACTCGAGCGCGGCGGTGGTGACCGAGGCAGCCCGCTTGGCGGGGTCCCGCCGGGCGCGATCGTCGCGGTACGAGTAGAAGTAGGAGACGTAGGGGATGACCGGGTCGCGGTAGGCGAGGTACGCCGCGTGGTTCCACCATTCCAGAAGCCAGTTCTTGGTCTTGGGGTCGGCGGCGCGGGCGAGCAGCCTTTCCTGCAGGGGCTCGCCCTCACCACCGGGCCGCACGAACGCCTCCACCGCCTTCTTGGTGCGCTCGTACTCCGCCTCGGACACCAGGGGGTGGACGGACTTCAAGTACCGCCGGCCGGTTTCCTCTAGCGAAGGGACGGGCAATCGGGGGAGTGAGTCTTCGAAGCGGAGCATCTTCCCTTTGGAGAGATCCTCTGTGTAGCCTGTGTCGAATGCGCGTTAGCCGTCTTGTTGCTGGAGGATTGGCAGACTTTCGCTTACCCTCAGGGACAGATGAGGCCTTGCGCCGGGGAGCCATGACTGGGGACTTTGCCGAAGATTGTCAGTCGTTATCGCAGTAATCAAGAGAGACAACTTACCACAGCTGATCGGGCGAGAAGTGAATTTGTGGGGGGAAGACGGGGCCGTAGGAGAGTGGGGAGGCGGCTTCTGCTCGCAGCCGTAAACATCCCTCACGGTTGTGACTGGAACGAGAGGGTGGTAGAAGAGAGGTGAGTTGGTAGTCGCAGGGTAGAAAGAGGGCAGCGAGAGTAGGGGGGAGGAATAAGAAGAAAAGAGAGCAGAGAGCAGAGAGCAGAGAGCAGTTGGTGGAAGAAGAGGAAGACCACATGAGACGATCAGGCCGGCCAAGTCGGGGAAAAGCCTCGGCAGCAGAGCGACAGCAGCTCACCCGACCGAGGGCGGGTCACAACCTGTATCTTACCGGTTTGCGGGACACTTGGGGTGATCAACAAGCAGCCAACTGTGTATAGAAAGGTAAATTACAGCATTACGGTACCAGGATCCGCTGGCTTATGTAATGCCCCAGACCGGCCATCAGCCTCGGTTCATGGGAGCTCCAGTTCTTACTGTGCATACGTCCCTGGAAGATCATGACGATGACACAAGGGAGATATGAGCCCAAGATCTATTCCTCTATGCCTGTGCAGTATTTCACTGTACATGAGCATTATTGATCCTCGAATGTTCACATCTCGCTTTAGAGGCTGTCTTCAAACTCCAAATGTCGCGTTGGTGATCCCGTCGAAATGCGGGGAGAAACTGGGGACGGAATCCAGGCCCGGGTGGGGGTCACTCTTCTGTATCCGCCAGAATCAGCTGCATCAGCTGCCTATTCACTCAATCTTGAAGTTAATAACATCATCCATCGCTGCAGTGCTGCATCATAACCCACGCATAGCCCTGTCCAACTCATCGTCCACATGAACCCTTCCATTCACCCGTCCCGCTTGCCCGAGCCACTGGAACGAGTCCATTGGTCGCGCCGCAAGGAGTGCCCGCCTCCAACTCAAATGTCTCCCTCAATCGTCTTCCTACAGATAGTGCTTACGTCGTGAGAACCTGTCTCAGAAAGAATCATGGCATTATATCATGGGTATCATGGGAGGTTTACTATGGTTCGATGCGCCGGCACGGTGGTAGCAGTACGGTTTGACTGCGTGGAAGCTTCACTGCTCTTGCCGCATGTGAATCCACCGAGTCTCGAGTCTGTAGCAGTTAAGGCCGATCTTGCGACACCTCCTCCACGAACTCCATCAGACTTGGTCGCGATTCACTAGAATCAGCTCTCCAACTCTGAGAGCGCGGATTTGCGGTCTTGCCCTTCTCTGCGCTGCCAGACACATCCACCCCGCGCAATGGGTAAGTTTGGACGGTCAACTCTTCCCGCGACAGACTGACTTTCATCTTCTTGTTGTTCCCCGAGCCGGAGAGAGCCCGGAGCTCGCCATGGTGCGCATAAGCCGCTTCCCAGCTCAGCACGCCCTTGCCCGCATCGGTGCCCTCCGGCGACTTCACCCCTTTATTTGCGATGGTGGTCACAATATCGAGCAGCATAAAATGGGCGAGGGCGGCTGCTGCTTCGGTCGGCAGTCCAATGCGACTGGGGGGCTTGACCTCGGGGTGATGCGGCAGGTTCACCGTGATTTCAAAATAGGTGCCCGATGGCGGGGAGACGGTGTTGGTCCGGACTTTGACGCAGAAGGAGCTTTCGGGGGTGAGGAGGTTGCCGGTGAACGTAGACTCGAATGGCATCAAGAACTGTTTGACCAAGGTCTCCACTTTAGGCACGGAAGCGTGCACTGTGGGCAATCTCACAGACGAAAAGGGGGCGGAAGTGAAGCCGCAACGAAGTCCAGCAGCCTTCAGCACCCCAACGATGTCACCCATAAAAGACTCCAGAGACCGCACATGCGCGGTGTGCTGAAGGTATGCCATCACCGGACGCAGCAGCTGGTACTCGGGAACATGCCGTCGTTTTGGCGTCAGAGGGGGCGGCGGCTGTGTCCTGCGTCGTAGATTCTGTCGGTGGGCGTAGGCCAGTAAAATGCGGATCGAGTGCGCTACTGCATCCGCCAGGGTGTCGTGTTCGTTCGAAAGCGACTCTGTATCCGCCGGTTCGCCCTGGTCGACATCCACCAGGTCCAGCAGAACCTCCTGCTCTTCCGAAACGGGAACCTGCACGAGATTCTGGCGCGTCGTCACGCCCTGACTGCCCATAATGCGAGCCTCGCGTACCATTTCGTGAAACAGCTCTTCCTCGTAGACCGTGTCGCGCGCTTGCAAAATCCGGCCCTCGATCGAGTCGGCATTCGTTAAAGACCAAGACACCTTCGAACACCCAGTAAACTGTCCCTGCGTCTTGACCCGCACGCGGACCGTCCGGATCTTCTGGGGGATCAATCCTTTGTCCAGCAGCAGGCTTCCGTCATCGGCTCGCCGCAACGCCGCCAGGCCTCGGTCGCGGAAAATCGGCGTAGCTATATCCAAGATCAGCATGACTATACGCCTGCATTTTAGAAGGATGCATACCTTCAAGGAACCCGTACTGCACCCCGAGAGCCTGTCTATCCCGGGGCAGACGGCAGACCTTCCACCCCTTGTTCTTCACCGCCAGCACTTCATCCCAGTATTTTGTCTCCGACGCAACCTCAGTCTCCAGCCGGGTCGCAGACCGGAGCAGCTTGTTGGCGGCCGCATTGAAGTTCTGGATTCTCCAGCCCCGCGACACGGTCTTGATGTCCTGCAGCGCGGCCTCCGACTTGGGCGGGGGGTTCACGATCTCGGCGTTCAGCGAACCCAGCGGCGCAACCTGTTTCAGGTAGGCGGACATGGAGAGCTCCGCTTGTCGGGGGGTGTGTTTCGAGAGGAGCAGCGAGACGAAGTCGAGGGCAAACAGGGCTTCCATGTGCGCCTGCCTAACACCTGCCATCAGCACCGTGTTCTATTGGTCCATCGGGGGTTTCCCCATCACCTACATGGCGAATTGTGTGATCTCGGCGCGGCGCTTGTACAGTTGGTCCATTCGCTCCGTGGTGTCGACCTCGGCGGCGGGCTTCTCGGCTTCGTCCTCCTCCGCCCACGGGTCCTTGTTCTTCTCCTCTGCGATTGTGGCCCGCAGGCTCTCTTCGGTGACATCGCGGAAGGATCCGTACTGGGCGTTGATCTGGGCGATTTCCTGGGGGAGGGTGTCCGGCCGCTCGCGCTTCTCGAGAAGCGGGCGCAGGGGGAGGGTGAAGGAGTCGGACATGGTGTCGTTTGTCCGTCAGGTGGCAGCTAAGGCGAGGAGAGTAGTTTGTGCAATTGATGGAGCCGGAGACAGAGTATGGCAGTTTGCACGTGATGGGGGAGCTGTTTGGGCTAGTCTGGTTTGGTCTTAGTGTTCTTCGGGTTATCAGTTCCGATAAGGCTTCGTTTTTTGATGGAGGAGCAACTTGCGAAACACATTTTAATAGGAAGCCAGAGCATGATTTTATGCGTAAGGAGTGTAACTAGCTCTTCTGCTTCTCTCTGCACATATGCTCTGAATGAGGGCATTTAAACATCCTCGTATCGACGAAAGAAGCACCGATATGATGTCGATGCTTGCCATTTAGGTACTATCTACCTTCAAGCAGGAAGACCATACTAGCTAGTTATACCAATGGAGAATCGTCCATGTGCTGCTGATTTACAGGACTATGCAAAGTACTTATTATGTGCCTGAATGTGTCCGTTTAGACATCTGATATCAGTAGTAAAATCGTACCTACGAGTAGTTAGTACTGTACTAGAAGTGCAACATCTATCCTTGAAGCAAAGCCGTCCGCCTGGCGATCATCGTTAGTTTACTTCGTTTTTCTTACGTTCTGTCGTGGTTTGGTCTTGGAATACGAGGATATGAAGAGGTCTTCAGTTCTCACATTGCGTGTCATGGATAAACGTGCCCGACGACTGAGGAGCGGTCGGAAGGCTGGAATATATATCTGTTTACGAGCTGAACTTCAACATGGAACCCGAAAGACTTTTAGGTTTGGAATGTGTATACTAGATGAGTGCTAATTCAAGTGTACCTCGCTAACGAATCACCAATATTTCACCAGCAATCTCTGATGTTGTCATTCTCCACTGGCAAACCAGTTCTATGAGGTATGATGTTAATTGTCGAGGTTGCCGGCTGGGCGCAACGACGGTCGGCCCGCAAGACCCCTCACTGTCCGGTTCGGGAAGCCCAGGCAATGGGCTGGGCGGGAGTCTACCTGGTAGCATACACGGCAGGTAGTGTCAGTCGCTTGCTGCAGCTTGCTCCAGCTTGCTCCAATCGGATCACCCAGATTATGCGCGTGGATCCTGTTTGCAGGTAAATCACATGACTTCACGTGCGGAAAGCGGCCCTACCCTAGCAGCAGTCACGTGACATGTCCCGCACTAATCTGCTTTGGGCGGGCGCAGAAGCGGTGACATCAACTGCCGCAAAGGGCCGCCTTTGGCCTTGCTCCCCTCTTTCGTCATGCCACTGGGCAGATGCCTCAAGCTTCAACTCACCAGAACTGACACGAGCATTAAAGACAGCTGCATCCGCATCTCATCAAGACCAGAATTCCTTGAGTCTGACTTTTCCGTGTTCTTTTCGTTGTTCCTCGCACCCTTGTCCTCCCTCCACCCGCTCTACTCCTCCCCCTGTTAACTCACTCACTCGGCGGGGCACTACCGGACCTCTCCAGTCCTCAAGTCTGTGACGTACTGTTGCCCACACCCGCTTTTTCTCACCGGAACTTCTTCTCCCCCACCGTCACACAGGGTATCCTACCTGAGGAACGTTCCGCAAACCGCCATTGCCAGCTCTTTTCACTCATCATCCCGTCGCCTATCCTCCCCTCATCAAGTACATTGCTCATCCCCCGCGTGGATTGGAGCTACAACCCCCTAACACACTGAACTCGTCGTCATCGACACGATGGCTGCCCCCCAAAATCCCGTGCAACCCCCAAAGAGACGCCGCATCGCGGTCTTGACCTCCGGTGGTGATGCTCCTGGTATGAACGGCGCCGTCCGGGCCGTCGTCCGCATGGCCATCCACTCCGACTGCGAGGCCTACGCTGTCTTCGAAGGCTATGAAGGTCTGGTCAACGGCGGAGACATGATCCGTCAGGTCTACTGGGAAGACGTCCGCGGCTGGCTGTCTCAGGGTGGTACCCTGATCGGCTCTGCTCGCTGCTTGACCTTCCGCGAGCGCCCCGGTCGTCTGAAGGCCGCCAAGAACATGGTCCTCCGTGGCATTGACGCCCTGGTGGTCTGCGGTGGTGACGGCAGTTTGACTG